CTTTGGGGAGATGGTCCAGTTTCTGACCCATATTGGCCATGTGACCCTTTAATGCCTTGGGTAATTACTTAATACTTTCAGTTAGAGGAGAGTTGCTGATTTGCATCAGTGGGAGAGAATTTTCACAATAAGGGTCTCCTACACTAACAGAATCATAGACCCATATAAAAAAGTATCTACCTATAGCTCTGTCTGTATCTATACACGCACACACAGGGGCAGCTAAGTTGTGCCGTTGGATAGAGTGTCGGGCTTGGAGTCAGGAACTCACCTTCTTGAGTTCAAACCTGGCCTCAGTTATGTGACTCTGGGCAAGTCACTTTACCCTGTTTGCCTCAGTTTCCTGATCTATAAACTTAGCTAGAGAAGGAAATGGCAAACTGCTCCAGCATCTTTGCCAAGAAAACCCCATGGACAGCATTGGTGTGCTATTGGTTCATGAAGTTATGAAGAGTTAGACACTTCCTAGCCGTGTGACCCTGGGCAAGTCACTTCACCTTGTTTGCCTCAGTTCCTCATCTGTAAAATGAGCTGGAGAAGGTAATGGCAAACCGCTCCAGTATCTTTGCCAAGAAAACCTCATGGACAGTATTGGCATGCTATGGTCCATGGGATCACAAAGAGTCAGACGTTTACAGTTTCCTCATCTGTAAAATGGGGATAATAATAGCTACCTATCTCAAAGCTTTATTACAAGGATCAAATTAGAAAATGTATGTAAAGTATTTAGCAAAACTTAGCTAGGTAGTGTAGAGGATAGAGCGCTGGGCCTGGAGTCAGGAAGACTCATCTTCCTGAGTTCAAATCTGGCCTCAGACATTTACTAGCTGGGTGATCCTGGATGATGGAGATGACTGAACAAGAACGATAACATGTGCACAAACATACGTGTCTACGTATGTTTACATACACACACATTCATATATATACACACATACATATATATGCCTATAGAGTGCTTTAAGGTTTACAAAGTGCTTTGCATGAACCTTCTGACAACTTGGAGACAAACAGATGTGTCCTTTGTTGCTTCAGACACAAACTTTTGCTAATAGCAGGAATTCATGACATCATGAAATTTTAAGAGGAAGCCATATTGGATGGAGCAACAGTTGAAACCTTCTCAGGGGTCACTGGCATCAAAATGCCACGTCACCAAAGACCAGCAAGAATTTATGACCAGGACATCTTAAAGGACTGCTGAGGATGGCAGGGGAGCAATTTTAGCAATCATGTACACACCTCCTTTTTTATCCTAACGAATCTGCCCTCTATTAAGAAACCTTGGAGGGCAGCTAGGTGGCGCAGTGGATACAGCACTGACTCTGGAGTCAGGAGGACCTGAGTTCAAATCTGACCTCAGATGCTGGCTAGCTATGTGACCCTAGGCAAGTCACTTAACCCCAATTGCCTCAAAAAGAAAAGAAACCTTGGAAAGTAGGAAAAAAATAGGGGCCCAAGTAAGAAAGATTCCCAAAGATGTCCTTCCTTTTAAAGTTGAGACCAGAGAAGGTAAAAAAAATGTGCTGAACTTGGGAGTGGAAAGACCTGAGTTCAAATCCTAGGTCTGCTCCTTAATAAGCTGTGACTTCAGGCAAATGATTCAACTTCTCTGGCCTCAGTTTCTTCCTCTGTAAAATAGCATAGATGACCTTTAAGGTTCCTTCCAACCCTGGTTCTGTGAGCTCGTATTCTTGCACGTGAGAGAAAGAACATAAATTCTGAAGTTCTCAGAAAGTTTCTTCTGGTGCCAAGGCCCTATGCATTTCTTTTCACAAATACTATTTCTGGTTTCATACAACAGTGAAAAAACCTCCATTTCAAGGTATCCAAATCATAAAGTAGAAAGGCAAAAGTCTACAGACACTCATCTTTTTGTTCCCTTCAATCAGAAACTACTGCATTGAGGGAAATGTATAGGATAGGAAAAATAATTCCTTTAAAAATTTTCAAGATTGCAAGAGGTGAATTGCTCCTGCCAAGGAAAGGTTTACATTGGGGAGAGGTGAGCTGGTTAAAGTTTCTGCCAATTTTTGTGGCTATTTGAAATAATGCAGTAAATAATTAGGATCAAAGGATTCAGAGCTGGAATCAACCTTAGAAACAATTTAATCATTTTACTGATGAGGAAACTGAGTGCTGGAGAGGTGCAATGACTAAGGTCACGCAAAGAGTAAGTGGGAGAGCTGGGATTTACACATTGAGATCTCTGGCTCCCAAATCTAGCGTTTTTTTTTTCCTATTACCCCATCTACCTTCTCTCCAGTCTACTAGTCATACATAGCTCCCCTGGATTCTTACTCTTCCTCCATTAGAGGCTACAATGAAATTAATCAACTTAGTATGTACCACTCATTGTAGGTTTCGACAATGACTCAGTTAAGGTTTTGACATTATTTCTCTATTACATTGCACACTGATTATCAGTTATATCATCCCGATTTTTCAATGACCTGAATATTTATGCCACTTTTGCTTGAATTAAGACCCATGTTCCATGAGAGGTACAATAGAATTCTTAAAAGGGAAAGCTCTCATGTTCTGGTTTTGATGTCCTTCTTGGAATTAATGTTTAAAAATACTACAACAAATAAGAAGGCACTGGAAAGTTACCTCAAGTTGTAAGGGGTTGAAATGTTTGAAAGTCTAGGTTAAAAAAAAATAATACAAAAACAACCTGTAACTTCTCCCTAGTAGGTTTTAGGTTGGTCAATATGGAGACCATTAGACAAACACCATCATTACTATTCGCTCTCATTCATTTCTTCCCCATAGGAAATACTGACCTCACATAAACTCCAACCAATCTTACCACGACCCCAAATGCACTCCATCTTAGGAAGTGACTCTTTTTAAACAAATAACCTCATCTGGGCTGAGTCCTTCTTTTTGCTAAAGCACTAACCCATCAGCTACTCTTCCTGGAACTAAGTACTGAGCCAGGGAACTTTCAGCAAATCAAAACCTTGTTAACAGTGCCAGTGGGAAAGAGGCACAAAGAAAGGGAATTCCAGAGGGATCCTGGAGCCCTGGCCTCGAGAGCTAGGGAAGAGGAATATGGAAAGAAGAGGGCTCATGCTTATGGAGAAGGGTTTGCTGCCTAGGGACAGAAAGAGAAGCCTTCCCTGGGTGAGTTCAGAAATGTGAGTAAGCTTGGGACCAACCACGGGTGAGAGTAGTAATAGCTTCCTGGGAGCCAAGGGAGGCCATAAATATATCATGTGGGAATCTGAGCAAGGCCTGTGAAATGAAAATGTAACTCCTCTCGAAAAAAAATAATTTCAGTTAGTATGATGTCAGTTTTCTACTCGATACCTGTTTGGGATGAGTGGAGACTCAGTGGCCATTTGTCATTTCTTCTCTTGTCTCAAAAACAAATGGGATTCAAAGGTAAAGATTCTATGGTGAGCATTTTTTTTTTATAATTATGTCCTACCTTTTGGTTATATTCAAGAGCATGGCATTAAAATGATTTTTATTTAGTTAATAATTTTATGCTTCTTTATTTTTAGAGGTTTAGAAGCATAATGTTTGACATGCTTTTTATGCATTAGGAATCAATATATTGGAAATTTAAAAAATAGCACATAGCCCATTCTTTAAGGGAAAAATTACCTGCTGAGTAGGGCCTCTGAGACACACATAGAAGGAAATTCTACACACACACACACACACACACACACACACACACACACACAC